ACAAAGGGGCCTAAAAACTGACCTCCATTTTTTTTTTTGGGGGGGGGGTCCTTGTTATTAATATCATAGTATAATGGGCCCCGAAACCCTATTCTAATTATTAAGGCCGCTACAGCACGAGTTTGTGGGCTGTTTTGAGTTCGGGGTTTCGGGTTCCTAAGGTTCCCCCCTGGAGTCCGAAGGCCCTGCTGGGTTAATATAGGGGCCTCAATAGTGATAGTGGGTTTAGGGTTTAGGGTTTAGGGTTGTCCATATTATTTTTGGGGGTTCCTTGTTGTACTTATGGTAGAATGGGCCCCAAAACCCCTACTCTAATTATTAAGGCTCCTGCATTAAGGGTTTTCAGGCCTTTCGGGTTTTGCAGGCTTAGGTTTCACATTTAGAGTTGGAGCCTCTTGCTTTTCAACTGTAGCAATAATAAGCGAGAGCCTGTCTCTTTGCATTTATCTCTTTGAGGGCTCAAAGCAAGTCTCACTCTTCCTGCTCATGCAAGCATCTATTCCGATCTCATGCTGCGCGAGTTCTGGTAAGAATCTCAGGATCGCTCTTCCGACTGTTTTGAGCTACCGGCCATCTCCAAAACCCAAGAAGACCCTCCGGATTTACGGCCCGACAGCTTCCTCACATCTGGTAGCACCTCGAAACATTCACCGAAAAGCTGAACCGCCAAACCCTAAACCCCTGAACCCTCAAACTCTTAAAACTCTTGGCACCACCCTTCCCAGAATCTGAATCATATAACCTTTCATAAAGACGGTTTAGGGTTAGGGTCTAGGGTCTAGGGTTTAGGGTTAGGGAAGCCTCGAACGACACCAACAAAAAACCTTCGTGGAACCAAATTCGATATAGCCCCTAAGCCCTCAACCCTAAATCCCTAAATCCCTAAACCCTAGTCCCTAAACCCTAAACCCTAAACCCTAAACTCCTACACGTTAAACCCGAAACCCTAAACCCTCACCCCTAAACTCTAAACACCTAAAACCCAAAAGCCCTAAAACCCTAAAGCCCTAAAACCCTAAAACCCTAAACCCTAAACCCTAAAGCTCTAAACCCTCACCTCTAAAACCCATAGTTCCCAAACCCTCCCGACTCGAAGGGATTCCCGGGGCCGCCGAAGCGACTCGCGGCGCTGAGCCCGGAAGTTGGGAGCTTGGGCTCAAGGCCTGGCCTCGGGTTCGGGGGTTTAGGGATCAAGGCCTGGCCTCGGGTTCGGGGGTTTAGGGGTTTAGGGTTTAGGTTTTTAGGGGTTTGGGTTTAGGGTTTAGGGGTTTAGGGGTTTGAGGTTTAGGGGCTTTGGGGTTTAGGGGTTTTGGGGTTTAGGGTATTTAGGGGTTTAGGGTTGAGGGGTTTAGGGGATTAGGGTTTAGGTTTTTAGGGGCTAGGGTTTAGGGATTTAGGGTTTCGGGGTTTCGGGGTTTAGGGGTTTAGGGTTTAGGGGTTTAGTTTAGGGTTCGGAGGAGTTTTGGGGTCTTGTTTCAGCAGTTTAGGGTTTAGGGGTTTAGGAAAGGGTTTAGGGTTTAAGGGTTTAGGCAGGGGTTTGGGGTTTAGGGTTTAGAGGTGTTTTTGGGGGGCATGATGAGTATGAAGACTGTTGCGGACTGTCGCGCCTTTAACCGGTCAGGCACGTGGCAGCAGCACCTGCCCTGTTTCTATCAGTCAGCATGAGCATCATCATGACAAGCCGAGGCCATCATAGTCGTCAACAGGTTCATCATCATTCGCAGTGCCCCAGGCATCACGGCACTGCAGATTGGCGCCTTCCTGCGCCCCATCAGTCTGATCAACTCTAGTTTGGCTTGTATTTTGTGATGCTGATGATGATGACGATGATGATGATAAAGAGGAGGTGATGGCCAAGCTTGGTGAATGATTTATGGTGATGATGAAGACTGCACTGCAACTTATTTGGCACTGTCCTGGCAGCAGTCCCAGTCGTAGCATGAGTCAGAGTCCGGTGAGGAGGAAGTAGTAGATGTGAGCGTGATGTGAGTAGAAGCAGTACTTGGAGGCCCAGGGGACTTAGTAAGTAGGTTATAAGTAGAGTTATAAGTACCCTAAATGGAGTTATCCCAAATATAACGCCACTTATACCCGCCTTACTAAGTCCCCTGGGACTACAAGTAGCAGTCGTCAGGAGGCGGTACTGTTAGCAGGCCATCAGCAGCAGCAGCCCTCGTCGCGACCTTCCCAGGGTACGAGCGGAGTTTGGAAGCTGGTTCTTAATTCAGGCCGTCGTAGCTCTACCTAGGGGCTCATACCCTACCCCATTTTTAGGTTACTTATTTTTCTATATAGCAGGTCCTGAGCATAAAACTAAATAATTACCTTTAACAAAGGGGTAGGGTATGAGCCTATAGGTAGATTCTAGCAGTGGTGCTGAGGACAGTAAGGCTTGCGAAGCACTGCGGGATCATAGCCAACGCGAGTTCATGTCAAGAAATCCTTTGAGCCCACCAGCGACTTGATACTTTGGAGTAACAAGGGGGCCTCAACATTCTAGTTTGGGGGGTTCCTTATTATAGTTATATGGTATAATATACCTCAAAACCCTATTCTAACTATTAAGGCCCCTATATTATAAAGGCTTTGCAGCTCTTGGGATTCTCGTTTTGATGTCGCTGTCCCGCAGGAAAAATCTGAGAAGCGTGGTGGCGCAAGTGAGGGTCCGCAGCGAATGTAGGGGCCTTAATAATTGAAATAGTGCTTTGTGGCCTTTTATACTATATTTATTTTAAGGAACGCTAAAACCCTGTTCTGATTATTAAGGCCCCTACCTTGCGCTTTAGATTTCAAGTTTCAGGGCTTCTGGTATAGTCTAGAGTCTAGCTTTTGGTTCTAACTCTACTTCCCACAGTCTGTTCCACAGGGATAGACAGCATCGACATCATCGTACAATACACAAACATTTGCATGTTTATATACATACGCAGAGAGCAAGAGAGCTTTGCGTGTCTCTACATATAAACACTCGGTATTTACAGACACACACACACACACACCAGCTACTCAGCTACTACATATGCTGGTAATGATTTAACATTAAGCTGCATCCAACATTTCGATATCAAAACACAGGCGTGTTTGTGCTGCATAAATGAGTAAGCAAATAATAATGCGTTGAGAAGAAGATGAGAACCTCCCTCTCTAGCTCTCTCTCTCTCTCTCTGTCTCTCTCTCTCTCTCTCTCTCTCTATGCATGTATGTATGTACGCATGGATGGATGGATGGATGGATGGATGGATGGATGGATGGATGGATGGATGGATGGATGGATGGATGCGTGCATGTGTACGTTTGTTTGTTTCTTGTTTATTTGTTTGTTTGCATGTGAGTGTATACATATATACGTATACATATGCTATACATGCAACCACGGGAAGCTCACCAATAAGACAAATGCCCTTAAGGGGATCGCAGGGCACCTACCGTGCAGATCCGTGCAGAGGTTATGATGGCAAATCGAGCCCAGTGACTCCTGTAACTTTGCAGCTAAGTAAGGACGAGGATTTCTTGCATGGTGTTGGTATCGGACTGGGACTACCTGTAGTCTCCATTGTAGTTCCTTTCTTTGGTTTAACCAATTCTACAATTAGGATCCTATAAGGTAACCCCAAAAAGGAACTACAATGGAGACTATAGGTAGTTGGATACTCGAGGATTGGCCGTTGAGGTAAATTTCGCCACCAAGGCAAGTGCAGCCCGGATCTTTGAAACACCATGCTTGCTGGTTGCCTAGATGCTACTTAAAGGCTCATGGGACTTAGAAATTAGGGTTATAAATAAGGTAACTATACTTATAACCCCAATGAGCGTACTTATAACTGTACTTATTAAGTCTCATGAACCTCCAAGTAGTGTTCAGCATCCACGCAAAGTGTGAGCCTGGGTTCGTTTAGATGCTGCAAGGTTACAGGGGCTGTTGCGAGATCTACACAACATGCATGGCTGGCACCAGCTTTGCCAAGAGCGCGATCGATCAACAAAAGGCCGTCGCAACGCTTGAAGTTACTCTGCTCTGCCCACCCAGCAAAGCTTAGGTAGCATCTTCCGTATGTAATATAGATGCTTGCAGGACTACGGCAGGTTCATATTGGGTCTTGGTGACGGTATATAGGGTTGTCCTTACGATATGTTGGTGTATTTCCGGGGCTTTATTGCAAAAGCTTGCCTAGCTCAGCGCGAGCCGCAAGTAAAGCTTCAAGGACTCGCATCTGTGAGCCCGAGGCCACAAAGAATTCATTCCGCCATCCTCAACCCCTTCGTAGCCTTTCAGTTTAGGGTTTAGGGTTCAATCCTCATCCACAACTTCTGACAGGTCTTACAACGTTAGACGTTGCATAGTGGGGCTACTTAACCTGGAACTTCGCATTAGACCCTTCGCATCCGTACAACCTGGAGGTTCACGGGACTCAGCTTAGACAGAATTACCACTGTTAACCACTAAGTCCCATGAACCTCCAAATTTTGAGTCCTTACAGAACCTTTATAGAAACCCTGTAGATCCCCTTGTAGATCCCTGTTTCATAATGGTTTTCATAGGGTCGTCTTTGCGGCTGAGCAAGGACCGAGCTTCAATGGTGCATGGGTAGTTTAGGGTTCAGGGTTTAGGGGTTTATTGGTTTAGGGTTCAGGGGTCTAAACTTAAACCCTAAACCCTAAAACCTTAACCCTAAACCCTAAACCCTAAACCCTAGGGGTTTAGGGTTTAGCGTTAATGCCCGAAATCGAGGCAGCCTCGAGGCAGGAAGAAAATCAATAAGGGATCCCAAAAGGGGCCCTAACTTCGCTCGCTTCCTATCGTCTCCGTTGAAGTTCTTGTTTTTGGTTTAACTAATTTCATAATTAGGATCCTATAAGGTAACCCCAAAAAGGAACTACAATGGAGACGATAGGTTAAACCGATAGCAGCTATCCCTTAGAATACTCTTGTAAGAAGCCGAATAGGACCCCTACGTACATGCAAACCTAAACGCAGCAAAGCATGAATCTGCCAAGAGCAGGCTGCTGGCTGAACTCGGCTGAGAGGGTGGACGCGTCGTAGCGGTCGGGTTCAGTTGCGGGGCTCAGGGTTTAGGGTTCGTAGGGTCTTGGAGCAACAAGAATCTGACGGTCTGATTCAGGATCGGCGGATCGTGTTTCGAAGTTGTCTTCAGTCTGACCGCCTTTGGAAGTGTCAACGCATGATGCAGTGCCATCGTCGCGAAGCGATGCCTGGCACTGCCCACGAGCTTCGATTCTTATCGACCAGTCTTAAAATACGCAGACGTGTTGTTTTATGTACCGCAGCCGACATCCGCACACTGACTTTCCCTTTACGACACTGACACTACTTGCATCGGCAGTCTTACTTGTAGCTTTTTCTTTCATTTATTGCCTTGTGTCAAGCATACCTTAATTCGTGCAGAACGGCAGCCACAAGACGAGCGTGCAGCACATACGGAAAAGGCATGACATATCATTTAGCACTATCTGACTCTCTCTGCAGCTCCTACTCCGCACCCTAAACCCTATAAACCCTAAACCATAAAACCCTAAACCCTAAACCCTAGAGTTCACCCGAACATAAAGGTGGCACAGTCGAAGCAAGTAGGCCAAGTTCACCTAGAAAGTCAGGTTGAGGGTTTGAGCTTTGCCTCAATAAATACCAATACTAGTTTGGGGGCTCCTCATTATTATTCTAGCTACAGTATAATATACCCCAAAGCCCGATTCTAATTGTAAAGGCCCCTATATTTTTCCTCAGGTTGCTTGATTTATAATATTCTTGTATTACATACTCCACAACCCTATTCTAATTCTGAAGGCCCCTATACCATTCCGACAACCCTAAGCCCTACAACACCCTTGCAGCCCGCAGCTCCAACAGCGCTCGGAGTCCATGCACGCAGCCGTTGGGCGCCATTTTCATTTCCGGACCTGATCGGTTTAGGGTTTAGGGTGTAGGATTTCGGGTTTACCTATAGTTTCCATTGTAGTTCCTTTTTTTGGTTTAACCAATTATATAATAAGGATCCTATAAGTATAGGTAGTGTTTGGGGTTGCCAAAAGCCTGATATCAAGGAGGTCTGCAAAGCTGGTTTAGGGTTTAGGGTTTGGGGTTTAGGGTTTAGGGTTTAGGCCATCCAGCCCCGCGTAAAGTCTCCAGACAAACTTAGACTTAGAGTATGCTATGCCCCAAACGCTCTTTAGAACTGTTTCGAGCGCATAAACTTCTCACCAGGATCTTTCGTGTAGACCCAGAACACTATGATTTGGGGTTTAGGGGCTGGACGTGGCCAACTTCCAGAGTGTAAAGCTTACAGTGCTACACATAGGACTTTGGATCATGAAACGGCTGTTTACAGTACTAGGTGCATTCTGGGTTTAGGGTATATACTTCTTGATCTTACTTTTCACAGTGGTTGTCGTGAGAGGCATTCGTGATCACTGTACCGTGAAGCTCGCTGTCTCCAGGTCCCTGAAACCCCCGTTTAGGGCTTAAGGTTCAGGGGTTCGGGTTTGGGGCTTAGGGTTTAATGCTCAGGAGCAGCAACCCATGTGTTTGTAGTTGCCTTGCTTGCTGGAATTCAAGACGGTGAGGTTTATAGTATGAAGGCTGTACGGTATAATGTGGGATGCTATCTGGGCCGCAGTAGCGAATTCCCAATTCTATTTTGGGGTCCTTACAATTAGAGTATAGTATGCCTCAAAATCCTATTCTAGTTATTAGGCCCCTATGTTTGCCTGCTGACTTTACAAAACGATTGTCACAGACGTCCGCTAAGGAATTTGTATTGAGGCTGCTACAGGGTGTGGACGTGTGGATGACAATGCATCCCTGCCGAGGACAGCCTGTTCTTTTATAACCATCAAGAGGCAACTGACGCAACAGTTGCAAATCCTTTCGGAAATAATTGCACCCGCACATTGTTAAAAGGAGATCCAAATCACTGATAATCTCTAAAGTCTACAGAAAACCCTTATCTCTAAACTAAAAGCCCCCAGTGTGTCTTTCAAGAACCCACAAATGCCCTAAGTCCTACATTGCGTCATCACAGTGATTCTCCAGTCTCATCACTGTGATTTTCCAGTTAATTTAGGGGCCTGAATAACTAGAATAGGGTTTCGGAGTATGTTCTACCATAACTATAGTACGGAGCCCCAAAAAATAGTATAGGTCCTAAACCCTAAACCCTAAACCCTTATTTTCAGGCCTCGATATTACTTTACAGATTCAGGTCCGGACACCAACCTGTGTGCCTGGAAGGGCCCGGGCCGACCCACGGACACTTATGGCAGAACGGCAAAAAGGGTCGAACAAGGTTTAGGGTTTAGGGTTTAGGGTTTAGGGCATGGCAGGGTTTTTAGTATATGGGCCTGAATAATTCGAATAGGGGTTTTGGGGTATACTATACTATAATGAGCAATTAGACTAGGGGTTTGAGGTATACTACATAATAATTAGAATAGGGGTTTGAGGTATACTCTACTAGAATTAGACTAAGGAGTGCCCCCAAAACCCTGTTCTAATTATTCAGGCCACTACATCAGGTTTTGGGGTTCTGAGGATTTGGGTCTAAGTTTTAGGGATTATGGATTTGGGGTTTAGGGTTTAGGGTTTAGGGTTTAGGGTTTAGGGTTTAGGGTTTAGTTTAGCGGTTCAGGGTTTGCACGTGTAGGCGTTGAGGGTTTAGCGGCGGGGGTGAATAAGAACACTGCTGGTGATGTTGATAACGAAGGAGAGCAGGATGGTGACAACTGGGACATAAGACAAGCTGCCTTAGCGTGCTCTCGGACGTTTTCAGTTTTCATATTTGGAATCTCTGGGTATCTTTATACGCTATGGGTATTGGCTTGTAGCTTTCTGAAACACGCCAAGCCAGCTTCCCAGCTTTCTACAGCTCAGCAGCCCAAGAACTCCAAACCCCCTAAACCCTAAATCCTAAACCCTAAACCCTAAACCCTAAACCCTAAATCCTAGACCCTATAAGCCCTAAACCCTGAAACCCACGCCGCAAACCCTAGAACCTCAAGGCTCGGTCCTATACCCAGACCCCCTCCCCAACCCCTGAGATCTTGCGGTTTAGGGTTCAGAGGTTTAGGGTTTAGGGTTTATAGGAGTTTTAGGGTTTAGGGTTTTAGGGTTTAGGGTTTATGGGGTTTGCGGTAGATGCACTCAATTCTGTCGCTCCAGGTTCGAGCTTGCGTCTACTAGCTTCAGGCCTTCCGTGTCGGTGCTTCGCTTGCACCTCCTCGCTACTAGCCATGGGCAAGAAGATCGTTGGCCTCTACGGCCCTTTGGCGGTTTGAAACAGAGGGCGTTCGAATTTTACAGTCTATAAAATTATATTTTTTGTTTTATCTAGTTTGCGCTATCAGTTTGTAGACAGCGTTACTTATTTTCTGGGTTCCGTGAACCACCAGGAACGGCTAACTGACGAGTTCTTAACTTTCCATTTTCCAGAGGTTCAAAGTTCAGAGAGGGTCAGAAAGCTTGATTATCGTTCCCTAAAGTCCGGAATCATGTGGGCAGTTCTCTAACATATGGTCCGTAAGAGGCCAAATCAGAGAACCACCCATGTAACTGACACTAAACGCCTACTCAGGACTCTTGTGCCTGCTCTCATTTGCCATTATCAGCGTCTCCTGCTTCAACAAATGGCGGCTTGGAGTAAAGAGCGGTAAGGCAAAGTCTTGAAAGGTCATGGGCTGTTGACGGCAAAGGCCTTGCATGGAGGTTGCTTCAAAGCTGCAGTGGACAAAGGTCTGAGTAATCAGCACGCACTAGCATGCCCAGATGTGTGAGTATACTATGTAATATTCCCGCAGCCCTTATGATCCCTGATTGCTGTGGAGATAGGGAGAGCCGGTGGATGTTGGTAGTTGCCTAATTCTCGCACTACCATTGAGACCGCGATATGTTTGCATCTCATTCTGGCGTTGCTCTCGCATGAAGCTGCAGGTATCAGCAGGTCTTCAAGTGTTTTGGCTTCAAGACGGTGCTCAAGCTCGAGGCAAAATCTGGCTATAATGAATGCAGGGAAGGCTACATGTGTGCTGGACTTCGTCTATCACCATGCATACCCATAGGCCCCATAGTAGTTCCTTTTCGGGATTACCTTGTAGGATTCTAAATATGAATCCCAAAAAGGAACTACTATGGGGCCTATGGGTAGAGACAGGACGGACTGACAACAACACCCCAAGCCGATTCTAAGTCCCCGACTGTAGCCATGGAGCCTAAACCCCAAGCTCTTGGCCTGAGTCCTAAACCATATGACTTATAGGTTTAGGGTTTGGGGTTTAGGGTTTAGGGTTTGGGGTTTAGTAGTTTTGGGTCTAAGGTTAGAAGTATGAGCCCCTAACATGGACCCTTACCCTTTCTAGGGACCCTTAAGGGTACATGTAGGGTATATAGTAGGTGTATAAGGATCCCAGGGTTAAGGGCCCATGCTGGGGGCCCATGCTAGGGGCCCATGGTTTCAACCATAGAACCTATACCTCTAAGCCCTAATGCCTCGAATCTATCAGGGGCAACTCTGTCAATATTGTATAAATCAGGGATTCGGGGTACGGGATATAACTCGTCCTGCGATCCATCGGTTGACTCCGGAAGAATCGTGGTAGTCGGACAGAAACTTTGTCATAGTTGGGTAACATTTTACATTTTTAAGGGTACTTAAACCCAATAAGGAATATAAATTTAAATTTTTAATATTACCCCAACCATGAACTAGGAAAACTGTTTGCATAAGAACGTGTCTGAGTATCGACAGTATGCTATGACAACCTGTATCGACAGGACATACCATTTATGAAATACCACGCCTACACAATGCTACGAAATGAAACGTTTAATGTTTGAATGAGCACTGCTTTATTTTCGCTTTCTGGTAGCCTGCTGCACTGATCGCATGTGTCTTCTGATGACTGCTGGGTTTAAGTGGTTTGTCTCAAGATCTCTTGGGTTCAGGGTTTGCGCTTTAAGGTGCTTTGTTTGGGGTCCTGTCCAGCTGGTGCTGCGTGTGTCAGA